AATTAAAAGATATATATTAATATTCAGAAATATTTACAGTAGACTAGAATACATACAGCCAAATTTTCACCAATAACAGCCAAACCGCAAGAATAAAAAAAATATATCCTTATTTTTTTCAAAGCATTACATTTAACACAGCTTATAAAACCACCAGCAGTGAAAAAATATTTGTTTTTGACTCACATTTGAATATTTGTCCTAAATATGACAAAATTAGCCATTCAAAATGGCAACCGGAAGTCTTTTTATGCAAATATTTTTACTTCTCCTGGCCACAAAAATCACTCTTCCATGTCTTGAAGAACTTGAAACACTTAATAACTAATATATTTTCATCTTATCAGCAGGTTTAGTAAACTAMATGGCCAAAAAACTAMGGGAAAAAAATGTTTTCCTGTGAGTGTTAGCTTCCTTTGTTAGCATGCAGGACTGTCTAAATATGGCGACCTCTGCGTTTTTACATTCTCCGTCACTAAACAAAGTTCCCACCTCCTTAATATATACACCAAATGAAAGGTACGGTGATTGGCTACACAGCTGTGGCATCAGAACGAAGCTCAGAGCTGACTGGCCGATTTTACAGTCAGTCAAATCCAGGATGACAAAAACTGGAAGTTGGTCACTTCTGAAATTTTATTGGCCCTGGACAGCCGATACTTGAAMCCAGTTGGTYAGGAACACAGAACCGATACTACAAAATAAAATGAAACAAAAACGACATGCGGGTATTCCGCTGAATGTTGTTGAAAATGAAAAATTGTTCTCAGTCACTTTACCTGGTTAAAAAAGTTAAATAAAATAAAATTAGGATCATTCATTGACTTCCAGTCATTTCCAGTCATTTCTATAGCATAACCCCAGCTGATTCAACCTAAAATGGATGTTGTGTAACAGCACCAGCAACAGGTAGAAGGACACAACTAGATTTAGACCAGTCCCCCAACTGATGGACCAGCAGTATACTAATGCCAAAATTTACATCTAAACCAGAATGGAATACTAAACCTAACCTCAGTGAACTGTAATCAGTCAATCAAAGGAATTTTAAATAATTTAAACATTTCATATTATTGGATTGACTCCATTGTAAACATAATATATACACCTACCAGACCCCACCCCAACTATTCTTGACCACTCCCCTATGCCTGAAGACATAAGTCAGGTTTCCATCCAGTTGTAGAGTGAATTTTTAACAAACTTTTCAAAATTCGCAAAAACTTAAATAAATAAAAATTCGAATCTAGACTGTTTTCATCTAGCTTCCCTCTCGACTGTTTGATGCGAATAAAAGAGGCTACGCAACACATGATTAAGTCAGACGAGGCTACGCAACGTGTGATTACGTCAGATGAGACGACACAAGGTGTGATTACGTCAGACGTCGGCGACAAGCTTTGTGGTAGTTAACAGTGTGAAAGATGGTGGCATAGCTGAGTCAGAGATCAGATCTCCAGTAGATATTTAAAAATAGTTTCATGATCTGATGTGGGAAACCAGGAATTACTGTAACCTGCTAAAAAGGAGCCAAAACTGGAGTGGACATACAGTATATATATA